AGTAATCTACCAAAATTGAACATTCCCAAGGCTGCTTTTATTTTCTCTTGGGATCAGATTAGTCTAAGAGTCAGTGTCAGTAATTTCCCAGTGTGGAAATCAGCCCATACCATGTCTGTTTAATATAGTGTGGCACATAACTGGGGAGTAGCTGCTGAAGCTGTGCACACGTGTGTACTGAGCAGTAAGGAAGGAGTTGCTCCGAGGAGAAGGGCTTTATAAAGCATGTCAGTGAAGTGCTGGCTTACACCATGAAAGTTTTCTTCTTTATTTTTTGTTCTACGCAAGTAGTAAGTATGTAAAACAGATGTTAGTGTTTACCTAAAATAGCTTACTGCTCTCATATTTTATGACAACTGGTCTTACTCTTACAGTGAGATACAGAACACTGTTAGCAGTAACATTTCTCCCTTATTCCATTTTAATGTTTTATTTTGTATTACTCTGTTACCAAAAAATCCTTTCTACCTTCTCTGCCACCTAATTCCATGTACTTCTAACACAAGGGGTTCCTTTTTCTCTGAATTTTAAAAATTATTCCTATTTCCAGGTTGGAAGTTATTTTTCCCGATCTTTGTCATCAGCTACCTTTTTAACCATTTTTCTGCCTTATACATGCTTCTTTTTAAGTCGCTTGCATCAAATGTAGGCCAGTATTTCAAATCAGAACATACTACCAATTTTGTACACTCCACTGTCATGTTTTCAGATTTACTGGGTCTAAAACCATTACATACATCATTCCATCTACTATATAATGACCAAAAAAAATGGACTCATTTTTGAAGTGCATGTCCTGTTTATGTAATCTCTCACATGTATTTTTAAACCAGTATAAAATCCTGGCTTCTTTAAAGCAAACAAACAAGCAAAAACCCTGAATAAAATACAAACCAACAAAAAAACCCCCAAACTCTCTGTATACTTTAATAGTCATATCTTCTTAAATGTCATCAATTAATAATACCAAATTGGGAACACTTTTTTATTTTTTAATTCTCACTGTAATAGCTGATTGCACAGCAAGTGCTACTGGCTCAGATTATTTGGGTAATCATTCTCTGTTGCAGATTGATCTTGGTTAGTGGTTTAAATGCAGACTGGTAAATAATAATGTATTCAGTCAGTATGTAAGTTAAAAACAACCTCGCTGACAAGAGCAGTTGATCAAACCCTTCTGTATGTCTTTTACTGTAGTCAAAAGTTCTTGGGCAGTTAGCTGACTTCTAAATGTCATTGTTTTGATAGTATATTGCTGGAAGAAGTTTTATTTCAGACTTTCATATTTTCAAAGACAAAATATGTAGACAAATATATAGAGAATTCACCATCCCTGCACTGATTTAAAAGACATGTAGATGTGGTACTCAAGAACATGGTTTACTGGTGAAACCTCTTTGTGCCTAAACATTGAGTGACTGCATTCCTAGCTAAAAGTTTTCTGTTCTGTGCTTTGGTGTGAATTCCAACTTGCATGCTTGCTGAGTATTTAAGAAATCTTAATCAGTTGATATGTAAAAAAATTTAGTATATTTAATTATTACTGTTATTAATAGCTATTATGGTTCCTACATATTATAAGAACATTTGAACCATAGTAGAAAAAAAACCTTTGGTCTTTTTAAAATAAACATGAGAAATCTCTTATATTACCTGTATTTTGTTTGCTTTGGGAGAGATTTGAGCACTCTGGAAATGAAATTCAATACTCTTAGTTCAGGCCACTTCAACTTTGGGTAAGTATGCACAGGACTTAAGGTAGTTGAACCAGTTTATTTTAGAGACACACCCACAGAGTGTTTGATATATTTACTTTCTCCCCCCCAGAGGTGCAGCAAAGCAGGGAGCATATGTAAGCTGGAGGCGTGCTTTCCAGGTGTGCAAATCCCAGAGTGCAGTCTGGGAGTCAGGCTGGGACAGTCCCACGAGCTGCTGTGTGTTGGGAGCGCGTGTGGCACGGCCCGACCGGCGCGGTGCCGATGGGGCAGCGCTCCCCTCTCCACTGCCGGGGTGCTCTCTGTGCTTTGCTACTCATGTCAGGAGTCAGTGCAGAGTTAGTGTACTGGGAGGTCATTAGCTGGCTGCCTTGCTGTCTGTACAAGTCCTTAAAAATGTTATCAATATCCAGGCAGATAATCGGAAAGGGAGAGATGATTTGTCCTAAAACTGAACTAGCACAGTGACCGTGGCCAGAAGACATGTGGACTGCATCTGTATTCATAGAACAGTTGTGGTTCTGAAGCTGACTTAACACTGGAAGAAATTCCCAGACAAGGCTTGCTGGAAGATCAATGCAAGGCAAAAACACTGGGAGACAAGTATGTGTGACATTGGAGGGGAAGGCTGACTTCTTTTCCTTGGTAGTTACCCCCTAGACAGATTTAACTGTACCTGCACCACCTTTTGACACCAGCACAGGTTTGGTTTTTGATTTTGTGGAAGCTGACTTGTTTGACAAACAGCTGTACATGGACTTTCTCTAAGGCTCCAGAGACTCCTGTAAAAAGAGTTAATTTCTTGGGTAGGTCAGGTGTTATGCCATTATAATCCTGACATTTTGACTCAACATAGTGGGCACAGTGGGATCTCTACAGTGTTTTCAGTAAGGCATTTGAGTTAGTCTTGCCACTCCCAGTGGTTCTGTAATTTCTTTAGACATGCCAGGGTAAATCCTGACTCAGGGGAATTGCTAAGTCTTCAATAAATTGATTTCACTTATTTGTAGTATTCTCTTATTCCAAGCTGCCGCTTTTTTACTGGCACGATACAAGTGGGTTTTGATAGCTTTAGGCATTCCCTTGTTTTTGCAACAGTTAGCTTAGTCCTTGCAGTCTTGCTTTGGATTTTAGTGCTATAGGGCAAAGAACATTTGTTGTTACTTAAAATATACAGTAGTATGTGGTGCTCATTGTGGCTTTATGAGATACGTTTTGCTTTCCTGTTGGAACTGTGCTGTGGTTTCATGCACACACTCCAGTGCACTGACTGCTGTGAAGCATGATTTGTGCTTTGGCATGGGTTGTTGTTGTTGTTGTTGCTTTATTTGGTTTTTTTTCTTAGTTTGTTTTTAAGCATAACCTGAATTCCCCCTTGCAAGGTTTCTCCAAGGAAATAGTCAACTCCATACAGAGTCAAAGTAGTCTCTCAAGCTGGTACAGTGCTGGAGGAGCGAAGCTACTTGCCTCCAGATTTTAAAAGGATCTTCCAAGCTGAAGGAATCATTTGGGAGAGACGGGAGTTTTTGGCCATGAGTTACAGCTGATATCTGCCTCTGATTTAAGGACAGTTATTTTATTGTTTTCTATGTGTAAGACAGTTTAAACCTCTACACCCCATTTGTGATGCTATGTACATTATTATTTTTTAATTATCTCCTACGGAAATTACTTCTAGAAAACCTGCAGGTTTGATATGTAAGCAAACTGACAAGTGGATGAAAAATTTTGAACTGTTGCAGCCTGAATCTCCAACCGGGTCTGTGCACATCTGCTTGTGCTCAGTCCTTTTTTGAGGGTGAAAACTGTAGAGAAATAGAAAACACCTTGTCTGATTTGCTGGTATGTAACAGTGATTCTTGCTTTAGGGCTAAAATAACAAGAGTTCCTGTCCAGGAAAGAAATGATGTCTAACTTAGTGCATCTCTGGAAAGGCCTGTGTGGTGAACAGAATGTGTGTGTGGTTTTGACAGTAGGGATGGAAGGGTAGGTACAGGTGGATGGCACTGCTTGAGCAGGGAGATTGGACCAGAAGACCCCTCTGTGGTCCCTTCCAACCTGATGCTTTCTGCAGTTCTGTGAAGTGAATTAAGTGTAATAATTCAGAGCTAGTTGGGAGCCCATGACATTTCTAGAGAGCTATGTGTGTATCAGATACTGTTTCTAGAAGGTTGTAAAACTTGGGAAGCTTCCAGAAGTCCTGGATCAAGTCTTACAGACCTGATATTCTGTCTTGAAGACATGTGCCTGGCAATTACAATAACATACACTTACCTTTCATGTCTCCTGTGCATGTTTAAAAATCTGTATGTAATCAGCTACAGTGTGCCTATAGGGTAGAAATTGGTTTGTTTTTTTCAACCCCCTCATAAATACTGATTTGAATTTCATTAATTCAGAAGTATATTATTTAAGGTTTCTGCATGGAATTTCTTTTTTTTTTTTTTAAAGATGGTTTTAAAATATTCATAGAGGACATAGGTTTGGATGCACAAGGATGTCATAAAAACATTCACAGCATAGCCACAAAAGGATGGTACCTCCTGTTAGCCTGTTTCTAAATAGCAGTGATGGGTGGAGGTGGAAGAGGACGTTTTAGTAACTGAGCATTTTGGAAAGTGATTAATTGAATAAGCAGTATGGAATGGAATTCACCCTTTCAGTTTCCTGTTAGAAGTCTCCAGATACTGAAATTCCCTCATTTACCTAGAGTTGGCTCATGTGTGTTGTTTACTTCATGCTCGGTGTGAAGGGATCCTACAGTAAAAGGTGAACTTTAGTGTAATACATAACTCTTACGATTACATTGAAATTTTGGTTCTATGAGAAGTATGTACTAAGGAAATTACAGTAGGGAAGACTAATATATTAGGTGGTACTCGTTCTTCAAAATCATGGTATTGATTCAGTTCGCATTTTATACAATTACTACTCTTTTCTTTCATCTAACATTTTTCTTACACTGTTATTTGTAAGAAATAGTGCTTCAGTTTTCCTTTCACATGTGCTTGTGGTGCTCTGCACTAATACAGAAGGGTTTTCCACATAGGTGACAAAGCCTTCTTTTTGGATTAAGGCAATTCCTGCCTTCCTCCTGCTAAAACACTGAGCCTTTATTGTTTTCTTCTAATGGCAAAGTGCTTTGTTACAGAGGGATTCATGTGTGCTTTAGAGGATTTGAAAAACTTCCATTTGTGAGGTCCAAAAATACCTCCATTGCTGTTTGCCTCACTTTACTATTTTTTCCTTTTTTTGTGGTCATCAGAGTTTCTTTCCCTTTTCTAGAAAACGGGGCAGTACTTGAAGGCTTGACAAATGTATCCCAGGTTGAAAAACTTCTGCATTCCTTCTCCTCTTCCTCCTTTAGAAAATTGACTTCGTTAAAGAGGTAAAGTTAAATGTTGCTTTCTTTTCCCCCCCCCCCATGCAAAGTGAACTAGAACTCAACTACCATAGCATGCCTCACGATGTTTTAAATTAGCTTGCATCCATGTCTCATTCTGATATGTTTCCTTATATCAAAAAAGATGTCTTCAGAAACTTTGTTTGCAGGAATCTATTTAGCTGTGTTCTGTTATTTCATAGAATTATTTGTCAGTGCTCCCGCTGAAGAAAGTCACACAAGTGTTACTTGATTTTAAATGAATGTAATTTCTGAATTTGTTGTATTTTGGGATATTTAAACATGCCTTAGAAATCTGAAGCAGTTCCTTACCCACAGGAGTTCGTATTAACGACTGGCTGCCAAGGGCCATTGAAAAATGCTACATGAACTTAAAAATTGTGTTGGGAAGCTTTATATCTTATTTCACTTCATTTTCCATTTAACAATTACTGATCTGTTCTTAAATACAAGTCTTTTTTCAGAAACCAAAACAAGTGCATTGTGAGAACAGGTGATTCCAGTCATGTAGACTGGCTATTAAAAAAACCCAAAATTACTAGTGTAAAATGTAAATAATTCACTTCATATTTACATACCCTTTTCTTATAAATTCTACAACAAATTCTGCAAATACTGCCCTTTAATACAGTCTTGACATTACTTGTATAGAGTTTAAAATGGGAAAAAAAAAAGAAAAAAGAAAAAAAGGGCTTTGAAGCTGATGGGTATTCATAGGTTTAGAAAACGTGGTAAAATTTTATGACTGTGTGACAGCTTTGTTGTTATATAAAATTCTTGTATAGCAATTATCAATTTCTTTTTCTGAAAAAAAAAAAGTGACCGAAGTATCTTAAAAATAGTGTTCCTTCACAGATTTTCTGTTTCTTGTTTCTGTTCAGCCAGCTGTTAACCTGCAGGTGCTGTCAAAAATAAACTTCTGATGAAACCTTAACTAAGAATCACTGTCTTCATATGTCTAATACAGCTTTTATATTTTATTATCCCCTCAATTTATTGCTTTTCAGGTCACTATTCTTAGGTTTTAGTCTCTAATATTAGGTTACAGCTTCACTTGCTTCTTCACACTAAAATTTTTTGAGACCTTAACGACTTCCAGGGATTCACAACCTGTACTGAGATCACACAGAAAGACAGAATTATCTTGTTTAAACCTGTATGAACATCGAGCAAAGGCATCTAATAATGCCTTGTGTTTTAGACAATTCCTGCTGTTGCTCTGAGAATTAAATTTATGTGAATTCAACAGTTGACAGAATAGGAGTGTTGTATATAAAATGGAAAATAAATAACAGTTGTCCTTGCAAGTTTTCTTTTTTGTTTGTCTCTGAGAATTCCAATGTACTTTTAGAAGAGATAAATTTGAATGAGAAGCCTCAGAATTCTTTAAGAATAAGGTTTAAGGGGTAAAGTTCTGCCGTAAGAATTTTTTATAACTGGTTTGTTTTATGAAACTGCTTTACTTCAAGCTGTATCTAAAATTGTCATTGCCAGTCGGACATGATTTGTTCCCTGATGCTCTTTATTTTGTTTCACTTGTCTTTTCTTTGTACTATATTTGGTAAGGGAGCAAGAATGGGATGATGTTTGTCATAAATAATGTACATTTTGGCCTGAAGCACCAAATCCTTCTTTTCCTCCTTGCCCATTTATGGCATTTATGGCATTTTGACTAAGAGAAGAAAATGATTTAATCGTTGGTAGATAATGGGACTGGTTGTCCAAAATGCAACTTTTCCTGTGGTTTCAGGTTGTATAATTGTACTGGAAAGATGTTAGCCGCTTTTCATTGGAGTAGGACTTTAAAAAACTAAATTTTCCTGCCAGAACTCTTATTTAACTTCTTTTTTTTTTTTTTTCCTTTTACTTCTAAAGGTAAGAGAGAAGCAAAAGAAGTAAGAAAATGCTGGGAACAGAACGAGGTGTCGTGGAAGAATGGCTGTCAGAATTCAAGGTGAACTGAGCAGATGAATGATAGCTCAACCACTGGCTTCATGCCATAGGACATAGTTGGGGGGTGTTAATATTAAAAACTAACATTTTATATAACTATTACTAGACTTTCAACTTCTTGTAATGCATAAAGCATGAAAAAGGCTGTGTAATTGATTCAGCTGGTACATAACCTACAGTGCATGGTTCTAATAGTAGTTTATTTTTGTTGTTTTGAGTACTGTTGTTACAGTACAGAACACTGCTGTAACAATGGGGTTTCTTAAAACATGTATTTTTGTGTAGGTGAAGCTGATAGAATTTAACTAACAGCTGGACAGGGCTGCCCAAATTTATAATTGAAGAACTTTTTATTTAAAAAAAAAATTAGTATAAATATTTGGACTTTTAAAAAAAATCAAAGAAAAATATTTTACTTTTCCCCCCCCCATGGTCTGCATAAAATTAATTGTTTTGTCAAGAAGAATCTGAACTTTTTTTAAGCTATTTTGCATGTTGATAATTACACTGAGTGAAATACAGCATAATGCATAAACAAGAAAACAGGATTTCATGACTGATATGAAATTAATCTGTTATTTAAATTAAGAATTAGTAATTCCTCACATCACTGATGATAGTAAGTCATTATGTGCTGATGTTGGAAATTTGTTTAAGATCCAAGGATACAAAATCCACAGCCACGGTTGCTTGGGGAAGGCTTGAGGCTGGCTGTGCTCATTCTGTATTATCCACACCTCGCAAAAAATAAGTTGAGTTGATTTGATAAGGTCTTTGAAAAGTGCCTGTTAAATACAGAATGTCAAGAAAGAGAGTCCACATATCAACCCAGAGCAAATGATTTAATGAAAGATGAATCTGAAACTGCTTTGGGATTTAACCCTCAAAGTGGTTGTGTGCTCCCAAATGTTATTTGTATGGAGAGGAACTTGTACTGAACAACTGGGTTGCAAGTCTGAAAATTTACTGAACTTCAGGGTTTTTTTTTATGTTGGGATGAGACTTAATCCTTTTTTGGAGATCTTTAATACTTGAAAAAATTTATCACCAGGGTAACCATATCATCAGGGTAACCTTTTTTTTTTTTTCCTTTAGGCATTACCTGAATCACAAATTTCCAGCTATGCAGCTACATTGCACCGAAAAAAAACATTGGTACCAGCTCTTTATAAGGTCATTCAAGACCCAAATAATGAGGTAGGAAATTTTTAAAGAGATTTTTGTTCTCATTCTTGTATCTTTCACCTCTACAACTAAACTGAGAGTAATGGAGATGAAACTTGTTTGAGTCTTGTTTCAACTGCAGTATAGCATGTGTCAGCCCACTTGGTTTTTTGAGTTACTTTAATGCATTTCTAGTAAGATACAATCTTACCTGCTTCCAAAAATACAGTTTACACTGCCTGCTAGATTTTACTTGCAACCACTGACTATTATATTTTATTTGGCATGAGTTGTTCTTTGTGAGTTTTTTTTGTGGTGGAGGGGATATGTTTGGGGTTTTAATTTGTGGTTTTGGGGGGGCTTTGAGGTTTTTTTTCTCATTTGTTTTACTTCTTCCCAGAAGCTACCTTTCAGTCATAACTGAGACAAAGTAGGCCTTGCAGTGAAACTCGGAAAGACCCATGTGCTTCTCAGCTGTTGGCTTATTCAGTGGATGATGGAATCAATTTTTTAAATACTATTAAGATAACAAGATCTTCTTGTGCATACACTAGTATCACTTCTGTGTTTACGCTACTGTAAACAAGAGCAGAGGCAGGGCCCCAAAATATAAATAGAAACAATGAAAACTTACCTTCCCCTTGTCCATAATTCATCTTGGACATGGCATTAAACAGCTTTCCAACCCAGTGGCTTCTGCTAGGAGCATTTCTGGACAAGTGTGTGAAGTACAACTTTTGAATAAATTGTGCAAGCATACCATTCTCTGATGTGTAAACTACTTTAGATAAAATGCTTCAAAGTATTTGATGTATCATCCATGATCTTGTATATATTTATAAATAAAATGGGTAGTGTACACAGCAAGGAAGTTCTTTATTTTCCTGAGCACAGCTCAGCTGCTTTTGGAAGCTGAATGGTTGATTGAGCTTCAAGGAGGTTGCATAATGCTCATGCAATTCAAAAAAAAAAGCAAAGGCTTCATAGCTGTCAGCTCCATTTCAGTATTATAAATAACCTGCATGGTGACCTTTCTCCTTGTACTGAAGCTGCTGTGTATTTGTGTTTGTGTACTCCTGAAAATGTAAAAGCTTGCCTTTGCTTTGACAATAAGCTTTTTTTTTTCTTTCTTTTTTTTAAATGTGCAAAGAAGCAGATCTGCAAAAAAGAGTATCTTCTTAGGGGTGTGACAGTAATTTTACGTTATTGTTCACTGATGTTTGTCAAATACCACTCTTTAGAACAACTGTTGCTGTTTGGGCCTGATTCTGATATCAGGTATAAGATAAGCAATCCCAGGCCCAAAGACATCTAACTGCAGGTTCTACTTGTCAAGGCAGTTTGTATTTCCTTGTTGCACTTCTTCCAGACTCATTTGTGTGTGAGGAATGTAAATATAGTAAATTCATTACTTTGCATAATTTTGTAGTACCATTGGCTCTAAGTTTCGAAGTACTGGTTTTTAGATAGTTCAGTAATTTTTAGAGTTGGTTCGTGGCTGTGGAATACTCTATGGATGTCAAGTTAATTCTCTGCTGGAATTTAAACATTGAATATTCATGTGAGGCTAATTAGGTTTAACTTGAGAGGGCAGCCATGAAACAGAATAACATCACCTTTGCGATGCCAAGCACTCCCAGATCCAGTACTCTTCAAATAATAAATGGCTTCACTCATTATATGATAGTTAAACCTAAAATGAGCACGTTATTTTCTACCAAAGTTGAATTCCTCAAAACTGTAAGCGTTTCCAGTATTTGTCATGCATTTTATAATACAGTGTATTTAACTTCAAGATATGACTCTTAAGATTTGGCCAACTTATAAATAAGCCAAACTAAAAGTATTTATCAATTTAATTAGAATGACTGATTTGCATCTCTATGAGGTGTAAATTAGATCATTCTCTTCTTCTGCATATTTAAGCCAGTAAAAGTTCTTTTTTTTGTTACACTGATTGCTGTTTATGCTAATAGGAAAGATCTTTTAATTATAACTCTTTAGTTTGTCAGGAAAGAGATAGGATTATAAGAGATGTTGTAGTCTGGATTTTTATGCTGACTGCTGTGCTACTCAGTTTGCTTTGACTTTGGACTGGAAGATCTTTGGAATTAAAGAGTGTGCCAGTTCACGTACACACCCACTACTGATGACAAAAGCTCAGTTTCCTCTATTTACCCAGTGCCTTCTCAGTATTTATATTCAGAGAATTAATTGGAAGAGGCTGGCTCTTTGAAAAGCCAGATAACTGATGCAAGGAGAACATCTGTTCTTTCTTACTTGTGTCAAGTTTCCAGGTGTGAGACTATCCTGCTGTACTTGGATAGGGAAATCTTGGGTGTTCATGCTTTTGAAAGTATTTGTGTTGTGGCATCTCTGTGATGGCAACTCTTTCTTGTGGCCTTGAAGCTCTGAACACACCAAAAGCACTATCATAGTTACAGGTTTTCCCCTAAGTAATGTGCAGTTATTAAACATTTTGCACAACAAATATGTCAACTACTAAAAATGAGGAGAATTTGCATGCTTGCAACACCAGTGACTGGATATTGCTGGTATATTTTTAGGGAGCATAGTTTCACTTAAAAGCTTAATTTTATAAAAATTTCATTTGAAAGTAGGTAGAATAAACTCAATAACGGCTCTGGTTGAGTCTCATCTGACTTAAGCTAAAATAAATTTTTCTTTTCCGTGTTTTTAATGGGACTTGGATTAGACTGGCTAATTTCAAATAGAAAAGAGCTTTGGGCTGCTGTCATCTCTAATCTAATAAAAGTACTATTTATAGCATTGCCTCGGTATATATTTGGTTTCAGATAATAGTTTTTAGATTTTCTTGCTCTTGCCACCTCCCTGCAGATATGTTTGTATGTATTCTTTTCAGAGATTTCTTTTTCTTTTTCACACTAGCTTCCTGATCATATTGTCTTTTAAAAAAATCTAGAAAATTCATTCTAGTAATGTCTGAATTATTTGTTAACCACTTCCTAAATTTGAACATCTGAAATGTGCCAGGCCTTTCATAAAACATGGATACAGTTCTGTCTCTGAGGATTTGAACATTTACTGTAACAATTGGTTTTAATAATTATTTTGTCATTTTTAGATAGGAGTTTCTACTAAGTAAATATTAATTAAGAAAGGATCTCCTTCTCCCTCTTTTGAACATAAAGTGTTATGTATATATGAATACTGGAATAAATATACTAGCTAAAATAATGTATGCTCAACTTGAGAGAGAAAACTGTATCACTTTTTTTTCCTTAAAATGATTGCAATAGAAGCTTTGCAGACATCTAATTTCATTCAGGTCCCAAAACAAAAATTGTTATTTTTTATATATACGACTTGTAAAAAAATCTACGTGTTCCAGTCCCTCTGTATCAACATTGTCACTGACAGCTTTCTTCCCTCCCTCTCTTGCAGAGCCTCTCTTTGCTTCTGTTGTAAAAGCAGGCTTGTAGCTTAGAGTAGCCAGTCTGTCAGTCAGAAGCCTTGTTACACAAGGTACTTACAGCAGAGTATTGTTTAAGAGATCTCTCTGACAGCTAAGTTTTATTTGACGTCAGTGTCCTATTGTGGCTTATGTAATCCGTGGTTTAAAGATGGTAATCATTGACCACAGTACTGTGTGTTAGAAATGAAACCGAGGTGTTCACTGCTTCCTGGGTGATGCTCTCTTAAGGCAGCCAGCTATCATTTCAGACAGTTCTGTCAGATGGATGTTTTGTGTTTGTGATATACCAGCGTCCAATATCTTAAGTCTTAATATGTGTATGTGAAATTGTACATTCATACATTTTTGACATTGCACATTTATCAAACATTCACACCACTCACTTGCAGAAATGTCTGTCCCTCTGCTGTTAGCCAGGGACTTCTAAGTTTTTTAAGAGGATGGATGATTCACAACAAACCCTGGAAGTACATCTTTGTACAGCATAGCAAGAGGGTGACAGTCAATTCCACTGGAAATTCTGGGTACTAAGGTTATGATGAATAGACAAATTAATGAAAAAAGAACGCATTAAAGTCCATGAAATACGCTGCTCTGCAAGTCCTAAGGTGCATATCCCTGGGAGTGAAAGAGGAGCCATATCTGCCTTATCTGATCTGCTCTGCACTGGGTATTTCCTATTTATGCCTTTTTGTCTCTACAATACAGCTGCAACTGTGTTGGTCAAGTGTAAGGTTTTTATTGCTCTAAAAACATGTATAATTTGATGTTTTATATCGTGTGTGTGAATGTATAAGCAAGCTGCATAAAGCATGTACTGTTAGAAAGAAGGCTTGTTGGAGATTGTGGCCTCTGTTTTCTGACTCCATAACTCTTCTATATGAATACAGATGCTTTAGGTTACATGTATGTCTCTGTCTTGTTGGACAGTGAATCCCATAAGTCAATCTATTCCTTAGGTCATTCTGTTTAATAGAATGCAATGTTAGATAGTGGTCACAAACCTTACAAAAATTTGTCTTGGAAATTTTATGGGTTTTTTTCCAGATTTTTTTCCCCCCAGTTTTTGGTTTTAGTATTAAAACTTGATTAGTTGTGGGAAAAGATGAGACCGTTTGACGTTCATTAGCAATTCCATGGATGCATCTTAACTATTAGTTTGGCGTTGTAGACTCTTAAAGTTGAAGGTTTATCTCGTACTTGTATCACACTGACTTGATAGGGGCCTTTTTTGATTCTTGTGCTGAAACCTGAAGTGCAGCTCAAGAGGGAAGGATCAGTTTTGCATTATAATAAACATATGCACACTTGCTGGGTTTGAGACTAAAAAGCTGTGGGTAAGAAATCAATTCGTATTTCTGTCAATGGGCTTATCATTAGCAGCTAATCTTTAACCTTTAAACTTTTATAGACCTTACAGCTGCACTGTTCAAGTTTTATGGTGCACATAGTTCAAGCCACGTGTGTGTCACACGCCATAAATTAGTACCTGTATAGAGAATAAATCTCATACTGACAGCCCTAGAGAAAAATTGGTAGTGGTCTCAGTAAAGCCACATTGCCCAATACAGCATGGCAGTTCCCCTGAGGTCTGTCCCTATGGATCTCCTTAAAAGGAATGCAGGTACCATTTTGATTCACTCCCATCAAGGAGTGTGATTTTTACTGGCTGTGGTGGCCATATGGTACAGCCTCCACATTTGCCATTTCACTCTCTCTTAGCAGAGAAGCCTACCAGTAAGTCATTAGCTTTTTTTTTTTTTGCCTTTTCCACAGCTCCTGGAGCCCGTTTGCCACCAGCTCTTTGAACTTTATCGCAGTTCTGAAGTTCGGCTCAAGAGATTCACGCTGCAGTTCTTGCCAGAGTTGATCTGGGTGTACCTGCGTCTGACTGCCAGCAGGGACAGGCAGAGCAACGGCTGCATCGAAGCGCTGCTGCTGGGCATTTACAACTTGGTAAGGGAATGGTGGGAATGGGGGAGGAAGGCTTTAAGTTTTGCATCACTGACCACTGGGAATAAAGTAAATCATGGCAACAACATCTTTAAAATTAAAAGACACTTATATGAAAGCATGTTTAATGTGGAGGAAAAGATAAAGTAATGAAGGTTTAGTAAGGGCGTGCTTGCAAAAATATTTTGTATATTTTATAGTTATGTTTTACGGGAAAAACATTTTCACTGAAAAGAATCATCTCGTGGGCTTTCTCAAACTGTTACATACTTGTGTTTGTAAGGAAATAGGTAACCCTCCTTAGTGTTCCAAAATACAGCTATGATTGTCAGGCTAATATGTTTGGTAAGTGTGTCACTTCCCACTCTCTCTCACTGACTCTGAATGTCTTTAAGGGTAATTTGAAGATGAAACCACCCTGCATGCACTTAGATACGTACATGTGTACAGTTGAGTCAGAGTCTGGAGGGGAACTGTGATTTTAAGAATAAGTAAAAGTAATTATAAATTATTAAGTTTGGCTGTTGGATGTAAAAATAGTTTTTTATATCCTTATCTTAACCTGGAAGTGTTTACTTTTGTAGTGTTATAAGGCTGTTTGATAAATTCAGCAATACTGCCACAGTAGGCATTCTCTAATGGGAATTTCTGTGTTATAACACCTTAAAATATACTCTACTGAAACATTGTCCATCCCTGTGCTATCATTGTAAACCCCTCCTTTAAATTGTGTATTACATTTTTACATATGATAAGACACAGAACAGCCAAACTGTGATTCTTAAAAATAGAAGATATTACAGTTATGCATTTGTAGATCAGCTCTAACAACTGGAAGGTCTAAATATCTTAGATACATTCTGATAGAAAAAAGCATTGGAAACTGCTTGCTGATTTTTGGAACCGTTTATTGGACTGAAGTAGCATGTTTATCTTTTTGCCCATTTTCTCATGAAGGTTCTTCTGCAGTTATTTTGAAAGTCATGTCTGTGATTCATGTGTTTTAAGGACAGTAATTTCTCCATTCTCTGCAGATTCAGGAAGAGACCTCAGAATGGACAGTGGCTCCCACTACTTTTTATCTTTAATGAAGTTGATATTTTTCTGCATATATACTGAGACTTGAGGGAGCGAAGTTAGTTTCTCAATACTTACAAAATGAAAGATAGGGATAAATCTTTTGCATTTTGCTGAATTCTGTCAGCTGCCCTTCGGTTGTAATCCTTAAAGCCTGCTACGACTACATAGTTACCTCGGGGTAAATTTTACATAAGCTGGAATGACTGGAGCTTATTGTTTGAAAATTTGCTGTACAAAGTGCACAAGGCAAGATTTTAGACTGCTTTTTGGGGTAGTCTTATGTAATTACTCTTAGTACATTTTCTTTAAAAACTGCTGGGTTTGATTATGTAGCAGCCCAGCAACTATAAAATATGACCAGTCTGAAAGCCTTTTGAGAGAACACTGTGTATTTCCCACTGATAGGATGCCTGAGGAAACTTTGCCAGTCCCCTTGATTTCACCTTTTCTCTGTGGTGCATTTATTATGAAATACCATCCCTTGTCAGCAAGTGACTCATCAGCCCTCGTGTGGCAGTATCTTTTGGGCTTGAAGTTTAGTCTTGCTCCACGATGCAATTCTGTTAGAAATAAATGTTATAATGTAAAAGGTGGGCTAGAAAAGCTTTTTTGTTCCTGTTTTGTGTGTTTGTTTTGGAAGTCACACCGATCAAGGAGCCAGGGCTGGTTTTTTACAGTGTTGCAAGCTGATTCTGCAGTTTGTGAGAGATGGCTTTCCCACTTCTTAAATGTGCACGTAAATTTGCTGATATTCTGCAAATGCACAGAGTGCTTGGGGTGCTAAAAGATCAGGTCATCTGACTTATTTTTGAAATACCTTCTAGGAGTTCAAAGTCCCTCCGACTTCTGTAGCCTTACTTCTGTTTGGGTTTTGGTCTTGTTTTTAATGCAGGAAATTGCTGACAAAGATGGAAACAACAAAGTTTTATCTTTCACCATCCCTTCGTTATCTAAACCCTCAATATATCATGAGGTAAGAGAGCTGCTGTGGTAAATTAGAGTTGGATCTATTAGAGGAATGAAAATTGGATCCATTTGATGCCACAGGCTATTTTAGATGCATCTTGTTGCAGTAAGTTTTCAGTGTCAGTAGTTTACAATTAGTGTAATCGAATTCAATAGCATTAGTTGAAGAAAAGGAATGTAAATGTTGAAAAATCTTTGCTGACAGTGCCCATTTTAAACAAATGTTAGTGCTGTTGTAGTTGTGGCTGTGATTAGTATGTGTGCTAGTATAAAATTAGTGTTCCTTCTAGCTCCTTAATACAGTTAGAACTTGGAATTGTTTTTCTTTCTCTACTGTTTCTGGACAAAAGTCTGTGTGATTAGGACATTACTATATATGGATAGGTAAGAATCAAAGTTGAAAATTGCTCTCGACTGCTCTGTTGCTTGTAAGTGTGGATGCTGTTTGCAATCATGAAATTAGATAATGTTTTTAGATTCACTGTATTCTGGAATAATCTTCATTTTTACAGATAATAAGATAAGTGTGTCTTTTGGCTTGAGTGGTTAGGAGTTTTTTTGGGACCTTTTACTTATGCTTTGTGTCCCCCCCCCCTCCTCCTACGCCCTACTTCTAGCCCTCTACTATCGGATCCATGGCTTTAACTGAAGGAGCACTAAGTCAGCATGATCTAATCAGAGTAGTTTACAGTGATCTTCATCCTCAAAGAGAAACCTTCACAGCACAGAACCGGTAGGTGATGTACTCAGGCATCCAGTGTGCTTCACTAGGGAGCCAGGTCCTTAAACATGAAGACCAAATATATTATGTGATCAGTCCTTTCTCAGCATTAAATGCTTGGACACAAATCTAGAGAACAAGTTTTGGTAATCTTGAGGTATAATGGTTTTTTTTTTCCTTTGTTCCAAATTTTTATGTTCTTCTACTAATTAATTTAGAAGAGTAACTTCTCTGTCAGTTCTGTAGATAAGGAATATCTTTGAGTTTATGGCTGGCTGTTCAGTTTTTCCTTGAAGTATAACAAAATTCAGCTTTGGATCTGAGGCTATGACTTTTTTTTTCCACAGGAAGAAGGGACTGGAACTAAGTGGATAGACAGAACTAGGGGTGCAATAAATTGCCCTGATGTTTAGTGACTGCCAGCTTTACCTGTGTTTAAAGACAGCTCTGGGAAAACTGATAAAATAATTTTGAATGCATTGCAGACATTTCCACTTCTATAACTTTGTCCAGATGTTATACCATATCCCATTTCCTTTGTAGTTCCTGCATAGGCTAATGGCTTTCAGTAATAATAATTTTAAGTGTTCATAGCTACCCTTTGATAGCCTTTGATAATTTCAAGTTGATGAACTATAATGAAAGAGGGTTTAAGGATTTATGTATTTAATTCTGATACTTCTTCCTGTGGGGTATTTTTTGAGACTGAATTGCAGACTTTTTGGGTTAAATTTGCATGCAGTGTTAAGAATTTAAACCATGCAAGGTTTTGCTCTTGTCTCTTTCCAGGTTTGAGGTGCTGAGCTTTCTTATGCTATGCTACAATTCTGCTATTGTCTATATGCCTGCTTCTTCTTACCAGTCCCTTTGTACGATGGGTTCCAGGTGAGACACTTGCCTTTGAAACAGTCTTTCAGGGTGCATCTAGACTTCTAAATATTCATCCAGTAAAAAAAAAGGTGCTTTCTGATGGGAATGGATTAGTTCTTGGTATGCTTCCATCATTTTCACTTGAGTTATAGCTATGCTAAATTTGCCAAACATGTTGCATCTGAAAATTAGATCTGTTCTTTTAGTAGAGAGGAGAGAGAACATTTTGTATGCAAGGGATTTCTGTTTTGGAAACAGTGCAGCAGTTACTGTGTGTTAGTGGCCATGCACTGCTTCCGTGATGAAGATGCTGATAGTAAACTGATAGAATGAATTATCCTGGTTTTTATGGAGGTGGTATATGGGAAGGCAGGCCCTGTTTTCAAGGACAGTACTTTTTAGAAGGCAGCTGAGAGCAATTCTCAAGAATATGGTATATGTGTTATCTAACTTAAGGTAAAGGGTGATTTCATGCTGTCATCATACATTAGATGGGAGATGACATGTTTCTCTTCTGAACCACTGAAATGTTTCCTTTAAAGAAAATTGGTTTCAGTTACTGAATTTTGGGGAAGGTCTTCTGCCTGGTGGCTGGCAGCAGAGAATATCTTGCCACCCTTATTCCTTAGAAGCTGGTTGAAGAAAATGTTTTGAAGAAAACAAGTGGGGTTGATGGCTACATGGAAAATAACGCTGGTTTATCAGCAAGCCACATCTCAAGGCACTGTTACAAAACTGCTGTAGTGGTTAGGAAAGGAACATAAGAATCTTTTATGCTGTGTATTTATATTTTGAAAAATAAATCTGAAAATTAACTAAAATCTCTGTTGGGTAAAGACATTTTTAATCTTCGTGGAGTTCAACACTTTGTTGTAATGTTGGTTTTTTTCAGGCTGTGTGTGAGTGGATTTCCACGGCAGCACGAGAAACGCTGGAAGGAGCCCTGTGGAAGAGTGGTATTAGACCCTGACTTCATGGTGCAGCTGCTCACAGGTGTCTATTATGCCATGTAAGTGGATGGGGTTTTTTTCCCTAAAGAGAAAAATCTGATTTTAGGTGAATTAAAATATAAGTGCCAGTTGTTTTATAATTGAAAGAAATAGTTAAGCTGATAAGGCAAGTTTGTAACTCGCTGAGTGTATTTCCCATCAATTGCTTATTCAGTGAACCGATGATGTCGAAATATTTGTGTGAGCACTGGATTAGGTGACAAAGGTGAGCAGTAAGTGCTGAAGAGAGTTAGGCTTCTGGTTTCATCTTTTCCCAAGTTCCCACTACCACCAGCTACCTGCTGTTCACAAGCATAATGAGCTTGGATGCCAAGATAAACTGATGAAATGCAGACCTCTAGGATGTCAGTCTCACCTGAGGCAGCAAAAATCCATTTGTGGTGGAAATTCAGTTCTGCTAAGTAGCATTAACCTTTACATACCGACCCCATTTTTTTATTATTTTTAAGTTTGTCCTGAATATGGCATCAATTTTGTCGTGCTTGGATGTGACAGGGAACAGCTTTCTTGTTCTACCAACAAGATTAATAAAAGAATAAATTTTCTCTACTTTTAAAAGAAGTGACAGGGTTGGGGTGTACAAACAGTTGATGAATTTTCTGTGTAAGCAAAGAAGTTAAGATCAGGATTTGGGCAGAAAAAAGACAAGTTTGTCTTCATAAGATGTGAAAGATAGATATTTATCTTTACTTTTTAGATATAATGGTCAGTGGGAACTTGGCCAAGAGGTATTGGAGGACATAATTTACAGAGCACAGCTTGAACTCTACTCACAGCCTCTGCTGGTAAGAAACAATCCATTGCAATTTATGGGCTTGGTTCAGAGGAGTTTGGAGGTGTTTCTGATGTGGACTGGTAATGAGAGCTTTTGTGGCCATTCACTGCACTGTCAAATGTGAGTGGTTGTTCAGCATAGCTGTTCATACCATACTTCTGCTTGAGCATTAAGCCGTGGTGTTGGGATCTCCTAGGACTCCTTGATGCTGGAAGCTAGGAATTTCTAATGGGTTACAGTGGGCTCAAAATGTTTATGTTGTTTTGGCATAAGCTACTGATGAGTGGTTCAAAGAAGCTTAACTGAACAGTTATATGTCATAGGACAGTGGTTGCAAAAAAGGTGTTTTCTTTGCTTCTAGACCTTCCTCACGGCTGAGAATAAGCTGTGTGGTTTAACTGAAAACTCACTAAAAAAACCTACCAACAGGATAGAACTGCAACTGAAAAGGAGCTTCATCTCCAGAGTCAATACCAGATTTTAAGCTTTACCTTCTTCTTTGGAGAAGCAGCAATAAAATGGAGTAGTTCGGATTGTTTGGATTTGGTTTGTTGGTTTGTTTGTTTTTTTCCCAGTTTTCACTATATTTGCTGTTCTAATCATAAAAAGAGAGAAAATAAATGAGGGAAGTGGTGAAACTGGGCTGGGTGCAGGTGGATGTGATTGGGAAGGATGAGAAGGTTGACAGAAAGGAGGAATTTTTGTCACATGTAGGAATGAGAAGCAAAAGAAGAGGGAAAATTAGGGGAATAAAGTAAAATAGATTGCTGTTTCAGTTTCTGCATCAGAATTGTGACTAGAAACCTTTAGTTCTCTGAACTAACAGGCATAAAATTTCACTGCCTTTTACATAACTGAAAAAGTGGATTGGCAAAAATCTCTTTATGTGGCAATCTGAGATCACTCTTTTCAGAAATGAATTACATAAAATTATTCTCTTGATAAATTAATACTGGCAGTAAAATCTGTCTACGGACTTTCTGACACTGCTGCATTTAAAATGCCTGATATCCATTGAATTATTGTAATAGTTGGTTCCTTTTGGAAATGACGCATCACTCCATCAGATTGAAAGTTTTAAATTAAATGTTGAACCTGCTGAATTGGGCCATCCTATCAAGGATTTAAAAGATGTGTAGGAGGATCTGGAACTTGATGATATGACAATTTTCAGTATTCATTGTTCGTTTTTAATCAGTTTGTCCTTAGAGATTACTTCTAATTGTAAGAATCTTCTAGAATATCTTTGGGTTTTCTCCAAAGTTCTTATTGCTTCTCAATTCCACTGTCTGGTGTTGGTGACATCATGACATCACCAATTTTTACCCCTTCTCACTTGTCAGGTTTTTCCTGCATATGCATACAGGTCTATCTGAGGAATTTCTCTTCTTAGTACTCTGATCATTGCCTGCTTCCTGTCTTGTTTTACTAAAATTTCCAAAAAGCAGCTTTACAAAATGGTCACTTTTACAAAATAATTACCTGGATGTCCCTGCCCTCATGCTATATATTTAAGCAATTTGACTTTTTCCAAGATTGGAGCCCTTTCATCTCCTTTCATTTTTCAGGAGAGGTGTATCATTTAGCAGCATTATAAAATCCAATATTTTAAATTTAAAACTACTAGCACTAAATAAAATATCATCTGGGATTCTGCACAGGTAAGTTTCAAGTTCAGCTTCTGCCTAGGATTTCCTAATAGCAGCAAATTCTTTGGACTCCATTTAATGTTGGGGCAAACCCCCACATTATGGTTATTTTTAGATATCTGAAGGTATTTGTGTAATTATGGGAATACCATTGGTAATCATTACAGTGAGAAACATCATGGTCCCTGTGTTTGAGTATGTCTCTTGGAGAAATATTTTTGACAATACAGTGGTAGGTTTTTATTGCCTGGAGGAAAAAAAATACAAACCCCAACCAACCAACAACAACAAAAAATGCCAACTGGAATAGCAGCATCAGAAAGCTTGAAATACCTGTAATGTAGAATTGTTTTTCTGCCACTGTTACCCAGAGACTGTACTGGAAAGGGCAGGAAGTAACACAGGGGAAAGACCTTTTCTGGGTAAACAAAAGTGTCTCTGTTAACAAACCCTGAGTATTGGTTTCATAGTCAGCAAACCTGTGAGTTTCTACAGAGGCAAACTGATCATGAAGAGTCAGAATTACTGCCATCCTGTACCTGAGGAGTAGGCCAGTGTCAGTCACTCTTTTCCTCTGAACCAAGAGTTCTGCACCCTTTTCAGACAGAAATCCCTGTCTTCAGAGCAGAGACACTTGGGCTTTCCTACTTCAGTACACAAGAATCATGGATCAGCAAATCCCTATTGTGACAGCACCTTTATCCGGTGTGTTTTATTGATGCACTTACTGCTCTTGTTGAATGTTCTTTTGTTAGAGCTCCTTTCTGGTAGACAGGAGTGGATATCTGGCCTGGAACCAACCCTCCTTTGTCATTGATGCAGACTCGGCTTGCCAAGTCTGAATTGTGCTGTGTATTTATTTTCCTGCCTTTCAGTGCTAGATTAGATGTCGTGAGCAAGTGTTTTTGCATCCTGCAAGATCGTAGTTTTGAGGGTTTTTTGGTCAGATAAGGATTGTGACTCATTCAGACTGGTTGTTCAGATTGTTTCAAAGATTTACTGTTGCACTGATTTTTATCTCCATATGGTTTTCTCAGTCCCCAGAAGTACAGTTTGTGCTGTTAGAAAAGGCCAGCTGTTAAGAGGTTCAACAAGAAAAAGCTCTGTCGCTTTTCTGGTTCTGTTACAGAAGCCTTTTGCTAATAGTTTTTAGATTAATTTTTTCTCCAGCCTGTATACTGACAAGGGTGCCTGTTCCAAAGAGGTTAGCAACTCCAGTGAGTAGAAGATGAGAAGGCAAACAGTTGTGTAATGTTGAACTTGATCTGTTTTGGTTCAGTCAGCAGCAATGAGTTTCTCAGGTCTGTAGTGATCAAGGATAGGATGAATGCAGTCTGTAGCATTTCAGGAAATGGCACGGAAAAGGGCTGAGGGGTGAATAGGAGAGCAGTTCACAAACCAGTGCTGAGGCTGAGAAGTGGTTAGCAAAGGGAAAATCAGTGTTGGACAAGTGAAAGGCAGAATGATAAGGAGTATTTCTATGATGGCGCCAATAATCTTTTGTGCTGGTTAGAAGTCAGACAGGAAGGCAGTGGAAAAGATGTTTGATATAGAGTTACAGGATCACAGTGGCAGCAGGAGATCAGGATCAGCTATGGCTGCCATTTCAGTCCCCTAGGACTGGTATTTTTATTGCTGCTTAGTTGTATAATGTCAGTAAGATTTTGGAAAAATCCAGATGTGTCCATTTTGTGTGTTGCACTTCTGTTTTGTTTTTCTTAAAGCTTTAAGTAATATTTTGTGTGCATCAACTTTGCTATTGTAGAATACTGTGCATGCCACAGAGACCCAGAGCTTTTCAAGAGCTGCTACACAAGTTCACTTTTTCTGAACAATTTACTTGTAAACTAGGAAGCATTTCTGAAAGCTGTTTTTTTCTTTTTTAAAGTAAACCTCTAATCCCTCAAAGGCATTTTATGGGAAATGTAAAGAAGCAATTAAAACATCAAAGCCAAAAGAGGTCACTTGTTCTTCTCAAAGCTGCCAAACAAAACTTCTGCCTTTGTACTAGGCTATTACAATAAAAAAATAGGTCTAACAAAGATGCATTTTAGTAATTTGATGCTCACTGCTTAGGTTGCATCTTTTAAAAAAATAAATGTTACCAGTTCCTGCAGTCTGATCCCCTTGGTTAGGTTGTGTTGGGGTTTTTTGTTTAGGGTTTTTCTGGGGGGGAGCCAGTATGGGGTAGGGTGTGATGGAAACTGGCCCTGTCCCTCTGTCCCTCTGTGCACCAGGCCCCAGGCTGTTTGCACTGGCTTGGCCTGTGACTCAGTTTTATGACGCTCTTGTCATAAAGCATAAATAGCATTTTCCTTGTCATTTTGCAGTCTCTTCTGGATGGAGACCTTCCTGTGCAGGTTGTTATCTCTGCCACTACAGGTGGCAAATGTGGAACAAAATAAATTACCTCAAAAAAAAGAGAGAAAATTCAACTGAGGTTTTGGGAGTAGGTTTATGATGTAGTAGCTTTTCAATGTAGTTATCAACTGTGAATCTTGGGGATGGCGCCATCCATCTTGAGGAGATCTGGCATAATTAACAATTCTTGGTTGTTCTCCTTTCTGTATCCAGCAAGAGATCTAATATTGCCTCTAGTGCAGACAAGGACAGTAGTAGCACAGCATTTTACTTTTATCTTAGGTTGCAAACGCCATGAAGAACTCGCTGCCCTTTGACGCTCCCGATGCATCGCAGGAAGGCCAGAAGGTACTGAAAGTGGAAGTTACTCCCACAGTGCCGAGGATTTCTCGGAGTGCTATTACAACAGCCTCTATCCGTCGGCATCGCTGGAGGAGAGAAGGTGAGCTTTCTCTGACAGGGGCAAGTATTGCAGTGTACTGTACTCATCATCATCACTGTAATCTGGCTTTTGAGTTTGAATGTTTGCGGAACAGTTGGGGGAGTTTTTTGTTTGTTTGTTTTTGAAAAGTGGTACTCCGTAATAATGTATAATATTTTACATCTTCAGAGCACTGCATGAACATGAACATTTGGGTTGTTTGTTTTGTTTATGATTTGGAGATAAACCATGAGGTAGGTGAGAAAATGGAGAAGGTGGGAAATGTTTAATTCTTCTGTTCCCCGTGTAACACAGCACAAAATCATAGGGGTAAAGTGTGGCTTAGAATTTGAGTTCTTTGTTTAATCCACACAAAAACTCCCATCATAAATAGCTCAGGGAATGAATGGTAATATACAGACCTTGATAGGATTCCAGCTGCCTAAAGCTAATGATGGCAGTGGGAGAGGGAAAAACTGAACACCTTACTCCCATCATATGGCCCAGTTTATCAGGGGGCCATAAAATAGGTTTGGATAGTTCAGAATTAGTCTTTATTTTTCCTCAGTGAGTACTCACATGGTATGGACGTGTGCTTGATGGTATGAAGAAAAAAAATTATTATGTAGTGATCTTTACCTTGGTGTGATGATATCTGCAGTGTAGGTGTAGCAAAAAGCTTGCTTTGAAATCACTTTGTCGTACTTGTAAAGCTTTGTTGCTCCGTGTATTAACTAGTGGTTTAAAAAAGCTGCATAAATTGATGAAGCTAAAAAGTAGAATAACCTAAAAATAAACTGAGGATAAAAGACTCTGAAAACAGGAATTGTGTATTTTCCTGTGGTACTTTCTCCCCCCTCCCCCTTTTATTTTCTTTTATTCTTCTCTGTCACGTGCAAAAGGATGTGATGACCTCTGGTCTTCAGTTGAATCAGGATGTCCAGGACAACAAGTCTTCTGTTTCCAGGACTCTGGGTCGTGTTTGTCTTCACTGTACTTGCCATTATATTCATTTCTGGTCTACAGTACAGCCCACCTGTCCCTTTCTGTGGATGTTCTCCCAGCGTTTAACTGAGCATGGGTAGTGTTCTGTGTCTGTTCCGTGTCCGCATAAATCTTCTATTTTCCCCGCCTGGGTTGGAATGCCGAGAAAGAAACAGAAAAGCACTAAAATGTTATATGTTGAATCCCAGATGGCTTTGACTTCTCAAACGAGGCTGACTCAAGCATTCCTGGCTCACCGATCCAACACGGCTCCACAGACCTAGGGATCAAACGTGAGCAAGAGGGGGAGGTGCTGATGCGCAGGACCCCTGAGCATGGCTTCCCGGAGCCCACCTTGGCAGCAGCCACCACAGAGGGTAGGACAGAGATGAGGAGGCAGAAGTCAGTGAGGCAGTTGCTGGAGGAGGATCCCGGCTCCCTATCCCCAAGCAGAACTTCTTTCCATTCTAGTGTGTGTTTCCGCTATCCCAGGGTGTATTAGCTTCTCTTTGCAATACACGCATCCCCTATATACCTAACACCAGGTCAGGTACTACCTTCTGTTAGCACGTGGGCTGGCCTGGGGCTTGCATCTGTGTGGTGAAAGACTGCTTGGCATGGCAAAAAAAAAAAAAAAAAAAAAAAAAAAGACAGGGGTAATAGCCAAGAGCTTTGGGATTGCTTGGAAACCTTCTATTACTGAGCATGTTTAATCTAATATTAAGAAGGAAAAAAATGCACCAGATGAGCAGGATTCTAGTCCTGAAAAGTAGACCGTGTAGAGAATAAATGGATTTGGCTACAACTTAGTTGCAACGGTGTCTTGATAGTCTGCAGTTTTTAAATTTTCAAGAATGAAAAAAGTCAAGCCTATCTACGATGAATATACAACTGCTGATGTTTTATTTGTCAGTCATCCTTTAACCAAAAACTCATACACGTACAACTCATTTAGAACTGGCTTCTCTGAAGACAAGTAGCAAAAAAGCGCTTGTGTTTTCAAGAAGAAAACAGGTTGTCATGTTTCTAAAAACTTTAGAAACAATTACTGCTTGCTTTCTTAGTCGTGCTGTCCACAAAAATGCTGTAGGGATTCATATGTCTGCTTTGCAGCCAAGAATAGCAGATAGAGTAGGTGGTAGAAATTTAGTTTGCTTAAGTTCATCTATTAATTTTCGAGTAAAGATGATTTACTCAATAAAAGGTGGTTTTGAGTACTGAACTTGAATCATTTCTTCTCAGAGATGAGAATCAATTTCTTGTAGGTTTAGCTAGATATGTTTTCAGGTGTTCTATTTTAAAGTCTTCTTCTCTACCTGAACAATCCTTTGGAGTTTCCAGCCTCTGTAAGGACTTTAGTTGATCATAAATGACATTTATTTACACATTCAGATATGAGCTACATAGGTTTCAGATTTGTTCTTCAGGAAACAATAATCTGGATAATCTGGAGATTTAATGTAGTGTTATCACAGAATCCTTACCCTTAATCAGAGTTACTGTCAATAATTAAGACCTCACGCTTTTGTAGAAGATAGTGGCATAAACATATTTAGTGCAGTTTATTATCTGCTTGGTGCATTGTGAATTTGAGCATGCTCAGTAAATGATCCTGTCTTCTCTTAAATTCACTTTTCAGTTGGTCTCACTCCATTTTACTAATGTTTGCATGTGCATGACCTGAAGGATATAGAGAAGTCCTGAGCTGCAGAGAACTTTCTGTAAGAGACAGGAAGTTGGAAAAAAGTTGATAAAGATACTGCTTTTTATTCTTAGCTTGTTTTAAGACATTGTTATAACTTGGCATATTGGATAAGACATCATTCCACATGCTTTACTTCAGTAGAAATGGATTGAATATCATTTACTTCGGTAACATTAGCAATGTATAATTACATGCTTGAACAAACTGAATTCTCCAGCTGATATCATCTGGGAGAAGGCCAAGAAATAGAGTTTTTGCATATGTGTGTGCATATATAGGAGTCTGATATTTTACTGATGCTGATTTCACAGAAAACTTCAGCTAGAAAATTCCCTCTCCTTAATATCGTTTTGATGTCAAACAATACAATGAAAGACTGATCACGTCTGGTTACTTTTCGACCTCCGGGTACAGGAAGGATAAACAGACTAAAAGTAATTTTAAAAAGGTGTATAAAACCCCTTCTTCAGATCAGTGTTTTGACCCAATAAGTAGAAAAAAGAAGATTTCAAGAATGTCTCAGTAATACCATACAAAGTATTTTGCTTGCAGGTGGTTGCAGCTGTGGTTACGTGCGCTGGTTTGGGTCAGTGGAGAACATCGTGTCTGTAGCTACAGCATTAATTGTGGATCCACACAAATAGAGAATTATTTGAGGGCAGATTTATTCTGATAAGGAACAGTGAGAGTCCGGAGTACACACTGTGGTGCAATTGATAGGATTTCTGTTGGGTTGCACTGTCCCTTTTTGTTTTGGCCTTGCAGTAGAAGAGTACTTGGAAGGCAGTAGATCTTTAATTTTTGTTTCTTTTTAAAATCATCTTATTGGTCTGTTGGGAAAAAAAAAAGAAAAAAGAAAACTTTATTACATCATCCTGGTTTTCCTCCCGGGTTATGTAAGGACTCAAAACAATTTTTTATTGTTTCTGAGGGCAGTTTTTAGAGGAAAAATAACATGTATTAGGGAAAGAATGTGTTTCCTGAATTATTTTAATCTCATTGAGAACTTCTGTAGGCATGTGGATCTGACTAGACAGAAATTCTCTTGCATGTTGTCTTCTCTATCTTCTTCATTTTCTAGCACTGCTGAGCAGCCTGGGCACCTGTATGGTTGCAGCATCCAAAAGCTTGCAACAAACCCCTCTCAGTCTTGTCTTTAAATTCTGTGGATAAAATGCCACTTTTTCAGTGTGACTATCCTGCTTCACTGTCCCTGAATAGGAACATCCCATTACGCAGCAACGTTTTAACGTAAACTTTGAAAACTGCTAACGTTCTTGTAATGATAAAAACCTCAGCTGTGTTATCTGCAGATACCTTCTTGCAAGTTACACATCTTTCTTTTGAATAAGAAGGGCTCGAGAGGGGAATTCAGCTGCTACTCTTGCTGCTTGTAACCAAACACACTTTCATCTGGCTTTGCATGATGATATAAAGAAATGTAAATGTTGGTTAACTGAAAAAGTGGTCTTGCTTTTGGTATGTTCCAGTTTTGTCTTATTTTTATTGGCATCTTTGATTATGTGTGGGAAGGTTGGAGGGGGGAATGGAGATGTGGTGGATTGTGAGTTAAATATATCAGTGTTTAGTGTAACAAAACCCACTTATGTGTCAAGAAGAACATGAAGGCTAGTTCAGCCAGACAGGGCAGGCAGGAGAAGGGGAAAGTATGTGTATTTTAAATATGGATATAGAGGTTGAAGCAAGTAATGCACCCTACACTTTAATAACAGCCCTTGAAACCTAAGAAGCTTATTTTTCTAAGGCTAAAGGCTTTACCAAGGAAGGAAGACTGCAGTAACATGAATTATATTAGCTTTCTGCTTCTGGGAGGCTAATGAGTCAAAGAGAACTACATAAAACTATAGAATATAATCTCTCATTGCATTGTTCTCAGAGCAGTCTGATTTGGCGATGCCTAAACATCTTCTGTAAGCTGATACACAGTAATGGTAATTCCAAGGCAAAGTTTCCTGAAAAGAAGTAGGAAATTTAAAGCAGAGTAATAAAACCTCCCTGTAAAGTTTTGCATTACACTTCAGAAATGTGGAATTGGATCAGGCTATATTCCTGCAACAACACTGAGAGTGCTCTGTCTGTTCTGCTTGCTGTAATGTCAGGTGTTCCTAATCTAACAGTTAGCAGGAAAGGATGAGCTTCCACTCAAACGTTAGAATCTCCTAAATACTTGCCACCACATTTTTCCCATTCCACAAAAAAGATTTAAGCGTGTTTGCTTGGCAGCAAGCTGGGTTGGACAGTATAACAGCTGGAGCAGCATAGTGGCTTCAACTGGGATAGATCCATAGGTTTTGCAAATTTCTTGCAAATAATCAGGCCCTACAGCTTTTATAAAGAAAAGCAAAATTCTTTCAACATGAAAGCCTCCACTTTTGCTAATACACTTTAAATTTATGCCTTTTTCCCATTGAAACAAGATATATGGAACAAAAACTCTAGCTCCATTTTCAGTTTTGAAATTTAAATGCTGCTCAGTTTTCTACTGAAACAATAACTTCCTCTGAGTACTTGGAGCTTAGAAAAAGTACTTGAATAAGATTTATTTTAAAAAAACGTGTGCAGCCCTAATCTTGTAATAGGCCTGAAAACGAGGATTTAAGAAATAAGATTGACAGGGTTTTATTTTCTCTTTGATACTCCAGTCACAAGCACAGTGCCTATTCTGCAACAGGAAGTGTTGCAGAGATTAAATTTCTCTTAATACAAGGGTTATTTGGTTTGGGATTTTTTTTTCTCTGAAAAATCTAGATGCTGAGATAAAAGTAATATGGTGGAAGTACCCAGATTGGAAATGCAGGGAGGATTGATTGAGTTTTGGAGGAGAGAGAACTAGGAATTGGGTTAAGCTTCAATAGAAAGTGTAGTCGCATTGTTTGAAGTGCCAGCTACGTACAACGATGCCTTCTGCCTCTGTTGGAACATTGTGAACGTTGCTGGCCTAGGAAGGAGCCTAATTCTGAAGCTTACTGAGCACTCACCAGAACTTACTCTGCCTGGAAGAGATCCTGAACATACTTAGATCTTGCCTCAAAATAGGATAAAAATCTGAAAGGGTGGTAGCTTTGTTTTGTTTCCTTTTATAACCACATGTAGGAGGAGAATGGGTAACAGTATGTACAGACAGAACTAAAACAAATCAACCAAATGGGGCCTAATTCTACTTGTTTTATAGGCAAAGTTTGGGACCGATATTCTGACTGATAAAAGTGATGTAGATGAAAGGCAAATCAAGGTCAGGGAGCACTTATTGTTAGACTCTGTTATTCTGCTAAACACAGCAAGAAAATTACTGGCTGAGAATCAAAAAGAAAAATGAGCAAGTGGAATCCAGGTGCATTAGCAAATGAGGTTTGTTTTGACAGTCTGTGCACACCTTTGTCTTCATGTAACTTAAATGCATTCTGTGTGTTCTGATTGGTTTGGGTTTTTTTTGGTTCCTTCTTTTTTTTCCTAATAGATACTGAAGGTGTAAATGGAAGAGAAGAGTCTGTGAACCTTAATGATGCTGATGAAGGATTTTCATCAGGAGCTTCCCTCAGCAGCCAGCCCGCTGGGACCAAAGCTGTATCCTCTGTCTCGCAGAAGGGCAGCTTAAGGAAAACAGCAAGTGGGCGTTCTTCTAAGGAGAAAGAAACCTCTTCTGCAGCAAAATCCACGGAGAGCCCCCGAGATTCAGTAGCTCGAAAGCAGTACACGCACCAATCCACTGACCTGGCTGGAGACACAGTCGAGATGACACCTACTAAGAAACACCTCAGCCTGCCTGCTGGGCAGGTGGTGCCAAAAGCCAACAGTTTGAGCCTGATCAGGACCGCCAGTGCTTCCTCCAGTAAATCATTTGACTATGTGAATGGCAGTCAAGCAGGCTCCAGTGGTGGAGCTGGTACAGAGGGTTTTTCCAATCTAGCGGCTGGCAACACCAATCGGTTTTCAACTATCAGCCTACAGGAGGACCGACTAGGCCAAGCTGGGGAAGGTAAAGATCTCCTTACCCCAGGAGCTCCCCTGACCAAGCAGTCTCGATCTCCAAGTTTCAATATGCAGCTGATATCCCAGGTGTAACTTTGACTCCCTTCCTTAGTATTCCCTCTTTCCCCTTAATCCCCTGCAAGTTCATCCTTAGGCAAAACCTGAACCATCATCCCACAGTGTGAAAATACTGACTGTTGTGATCTTGTTTGATTTGGTTTAGCTATCATACTGTATTACTGAAACAGCAATAATTCTTCCCTCACCTTCATCCTCCTTCCCCCTTGTAAACATGGTTGTGAAGCAGTATATAATGTACTGTATGCCTTTTTCCATGCCTTCCTTTCTCCTTGGGTGATGTGCAATCCATCGTAGGCTGATCAGTCCCATTTCAACACTGTGAGACTGGAGACACCGGCGGAAATGGTGAATGTGATCCCTATGAGATGATGTTTTGGCTTTGTTAAGAAATAGAAACGGGTTTGTTTTCTCGGTCTACAGTACTGCAAAGACTACTGGATCATGACTTTTCTTTCTCAGAACCAGGAGTGCCTCAGAGATTCTAGTGTGACTTTGGACCTCTCTGAGTCTGTGCAATCAATTCTGGGGAGGGGATTGTCATTGCTGCTCCTGGCTGCCTACAGCACTTTTTTTCATAAAAATGAGGGTAGTTTTTTCCTGACTGCCCCCAGTCTCTCATCCCAGAAGCTTTTGATGTTCAGCAACTGAGACGTGTATTAACAAGCTGTTTTCCCTCGGAGAGAGGATTCTAAGTTGATAATGTAGGTTACAATGCACTTCTAATGGCGTTGTAGCCATTTGTAATGTTACATGTCTTCCCCTCCAGGACACAGGGTCATTCTGCATTTAGACTAAAATTTACACAACACCATGCTGTTAGAACAATTTGGTTTGTAAGTGGAAGGGAAACACTGCTTTCCCAGGAAATAATGGCTAGCTCTGCTCCATTTTTGTTGTTTTTGTTGTGAGGTGCTGATCACTGAATTCAAAGGTGTATTCGGGTAAAAAGTATTTCTCAGGCTGCTTTCTTTGGTATCGTGGCTGTTGGGACACCCCCACCCCTTTCAGCTGCTTTCTCAATGTCCCTGAATTCAGTCGTGGCGTCATTTGAGGAATCCTGCAGTCCAGACAGACCATACTCTCAAGGTGCTGTCTCAGGGATAGAGACAATAGTTTGCTAGAAACATTGAAGCTTCAGTGTGAAATGCTTTTCTAGCGACGCTGTTTGTGCAAAGGGGTACCGACAGTCCTTTTCTCCCCGGAAGGATCACACTTCATTGCCTTGGTATATATAATCTGTTGAGGTTTTTTAACTCTTTATTTTAGTGGATTGGCCCTCCTCTAGAAAATTCAGAACTCGTGCCATTGAGCCAAGCCTTGAATGTATATGACTGATGTATGGGCACTGGCTGGTACTTATGTTAGAGAACACTGCTTAGAAGCACATTTCTGGTTACGTGGGAGAATATTTGTCATTCCCTCTCCATCTCTCTGTATCTCTCTTTGGATTGATAGAGAGAAAAGGGGAAAGCTCGTTCTCTATGCTTGAGTCATGTATGATACCCTGGAAGTTTACAAATTGTAAACCTGCAGGAAAGTTATGTTTTTTATGTGGGCACTTTGGTTTCTCTGTCACTGTGAAGGATAAACGTAAGCAGTTAAAAACAGCAGGCTGTCTTTGAATGTCTTTTGGGCTTTGGGGTTGGTTTTTGTTTGTTTGTTTGGGGGTTTTTTGTGGGTTTGGTTTTTTTTCTCTTTTGACTATTTCAAATAGAATTTTTTTTTTCAAATTTGCATTTTTGTTTAAATATTTGAAGATTTTTTAATGGTTTGACAAGTCACTTTGGTAGCTTAGTCTTCATATCATACATTCATAAAGTGAATTAAATGGCATCTGGACTGATGCAGAAATTCAGTTAGAGTAAAAAGACTAATGAGAAAGAAAGAAAACCTTACAGTTTCTCAGTGGAAGTTTAATATTTAAGGACACTAGTCACACACAGATGGAACTAAGGCAAAGTGAGTTAAGCTGCAAGGCTTACGTTTCTGTAAAAATGTCAAAAGCTGTAGATGGTTAAACTCTTCTTTATAAAATAAAGTTTTGGTAGTGGGGACAGTTCCCAAGTTGTGGCTGAAAGTACAAAGTTTATACTTAGTGGAGATCACCAAAAAGGAAATTGCTTTAACTCTTTTGGAAAGAAAAGGTCAAGAGCATCGGCTTATTTTCTAAGAGTTACTTAATTTTAGTATTTTAAAAAGTAGAGTCGTTGATTAGGAAGGCTCTCTGCTGTCTACTGTTTGCATTGTAAGCATTCCTCCAGAAGTTTTAGGACACTTAAATTGGCATCAGATCAAATATTACAGTCTTTTTTTTACAAAATATTCTTTTGTGTGAGGTCCCACACTATAAAACTATTTCAGGAAAGTGAGACAGCTTTAGTAACTTCAGATTGGGAAGTCAGTTTGAATTGGCTAAAACTTAAAGTCAGACTTTCTTATCTTTCATGGTATTTTTACAGTTCTCATTTTGATGTGCCTTTTGTTACAGTTTCATTCATTGTATTTTGGTTTGTTCTTGTGTATATATACCTATTCCCTATCAGTCTTTTTAAAATGAGTTCAAGTTTATCCCTGGAAAAAAAATAATTTTTGCTATGTGCTAATGTGGTACATCTATAACTTCTCAAAATTACCCTTTTAGTGCAGTTATTGGAGCTTGTTTTGTTGTTTCTCAGCCACCAAGTACTGTTTAATATTTATCTTACAAATGGAGTCATCACTGATACCTACAAACCAGCTGTAGTAACAGGCTGTGCAGTGCTGTGTGTCACGTTTCTCATTAATGCTTCTAAATGTGTCTCAAACTACGCTAAGGTGTGTCAAGATTGTAGAAAAAATTCACGCACTTCAGTACACTTCAAAGTACTGGGGCAGAAATAAAATTAGAAGTGTCTGGGATATGGGTGGAGGGAAAAATCTGCCGGCTTTCTGATTACATATGCTAAATACTAAACAACGTACAAAACATACTGAAATTTTCTGACACCCGTGACAAATGTTTAGACTTAAATCAAACCTCTTCATCGTAAATTCACTCTTCTGTGTCTTCTTTTAGAACATTTGGTACTTGACATGAGGCACTAGGTTTAGATTTCTGCAGTATTTCAGTGCATCTGCAGCATTGTAAAAGAAGGACAAGAAGCAGAACACTGAATTTTTTATTTTTCCCCCCCTCTGTGTGCATGAATGCACATACATATAATTCTGAGGTGAGAAAGTGTGGATACTCAAGTAGGAAAAAATTAAATATTCTTTGATACGCATCACAGTATGCTGCCATTTTGCAACTCATTTTTGTTGGGCTTTGTAATTTTAAGAAAATACAGAATATTGGTATTGTGAACTCCAGCTTGATTATCCTTTTCAGGGATTTATTGTGAGCAGGTTTTTTTTGAAAGATGAACCGTTATTTCATCCTGCAGACAGCAAAGTGATGAAGTAAAAATACCTATTGAAATCAGTGTTGCAAGATGACAGTTTAAAGTGCTGTATTATCCCCTTATTTTTCAATTGGAAACTGCTGTATCACTGTCCATTTTAAATGCAGATTTCTTTGAACACCCTTTCTGATGTGAATTTGGAGAAGTTTTTTTAACAGCATACTTGGTTCTGTAATGCTGAACATCATGTTGCATCCAGTAAGCATTAGATCTAGTATTTGTAGTTCACAATTCAACTATTTGTGTTGCTCTTAAATCCAACATTTGCAGCGTACTCCTGCTAGCTTTAACATAGCTACAGTCATCAAAATAGTGAGGAAAAAAATGTTTTCTGACAAAGTATTTATTTGCACTATTTATGAATACTGGAGTTTACTGGGACAGGGTTTTTTCTCACCATGTGAGGTTTACTTGTGTGTGAGTAGGTACATACATTTGTCACGTGTTGACAATCAATTGCCTCAACTGTGTGTATACTGTATGTAAATAGGAACATATTTTTCAAGATTAAAGGGGGAAACCTGCATCTTAGTGGTGGTAAAGCTACTCTGCAGTAGGGTGACCCCAACTCTAACTGCTTTTTGTCTTCAGATACTATGTGGTTTGTTTTACTTCTTTAATGAAGATTATTAGTGTTCTGGGAAAACTTTAGCTCCAGGGAAATTTTCCTCAATATTTAATGTACAACATGTTCAGAGAATTATATTTTGAAAAATTCATTTTGGAATAGATAATTCTATGCTATGGCTGTATTTTAACCTAAGAGTTTGAACTTGTCCTATTTAATCATGAACCAATGGCTATCTTTTTTAAATGTCCAGCATTTTAACTTCGGTCACAAACCAGAAATTTTTGTTTATCTTGGCTTACAAATTTAAATTAATTTGAAGACCAAGAGAGAATCAAGAATAACTTTTTGAAGAAAATCATAAAAACCAAGCTGTACAGTGTAGGTACTGTGCTCATAATCCTGGAGGAGGTATGGAAAATATAATGGAATATTTGAATTAAATGTATGTACTACACACAAAAACAATACTTTCGATATCAGTAGATCTAATAATCTCATCCTTAAATTCTGAAATTCTCTCACTGCCAAAGATATTGCTCCCTTGGCACGTTAAATATAGCATTAAAGCCACTAGCTAGGTCATTTATGACAACCACTTATAATGTCCATCAGAAGAATACACACGGCCCTTTTATTTCAATTTCTTGTTTAGGATAATTGCAGGGCTAAAATTGTAAAGTACCACTCCTTTTTAAGCATGGTAAGAAAAGAAGCCAGATCCTCTGTACTTGCATTGCATTCTTGATTTAGATAAGTTTTTTCAATATTTTATTATTGTTTCAGTATTTTTAATGCTGTTTGTTTCTAGCATATGGGCCTTAGTCTCTCTTGATTATTTTTTAGGGTTTTTCCCCCTTGGCACTTGGATAAACTTTGCTGTGGAAGGCTTTTCTGTAGGTGATTCAGGGTAACAGATCATGACATGTGTGTTGTGTTAGGGAGTAAATGCATCAGTCTGACAAAATTCACATGTCTTTACCAACCAAAGAGCCAAAATACTTGCTCCTTCCACAGTGAGCAACGTGGCTTGTTCCTGAAAACAGCAGTAAGTGGATTTTGCAAGACTGATACGTATGGAGTTTTCCACATAGTCCCTATGAAATTTTATTTAAAATAAATCCTAGAGCAAGATTTTTTAACATGTAACAGCCATTTCAGATAAACTTGCCTAGTAAGTTTGTCAGGTGTCAAGGCCTGTGACATTAAAAGTTTAGAAGCAAGGTGAAGAAGTCTGAGTACCTTACAACTTCAAGAAAAGGATTTAGGAAAAATCTGTCCCATGTTATTTGTCTGTATGCAAGGCTTAATGGAAAAAAAAATTGTTTCCATTCTTTTATTTATTTTTCTCTAGGCTATACCTCTCCCTGATTTTTTTTTTAAACTGTGTTCATCAGATTTTACCGAAGGTAGTATCTGAGGAACCAAATGAATTTAAAATGGGTCCATAAATTATCCCTTTTATCATACAGCATTAATAAGCTATTCCTGCGAGGAGCTATTGATGGGAACAGATGTATATTAAAACTTTGTACAGTAAAAACGTTGCCCTACATTTTAGCTTGTGCATGATGAGCAAAGTGATGAGATTAAGATTTATTGACCAATTACTTGGTTGTGAGCTCCTAGTGTTTAACAGTTGGTAAGATGTAAGCAGTTTTAGAGAAAACTGTCTTTGCATTCTGATACAACTTTCTTAAGCAATTTAAATTTTGACTCTTGACAAGATGATTAATCGCATGTTAAAATACGGTTTAGAATTCACACGGGTTTTGATTTCAGAGGGTAAAATGGTCAGGGAAGATTTCTGTTTATGAGTATCTCCTGGTAAAGTGTCTCTATGGTGCTTTGTCATGGAAACTTCCTTACAAATCAGTAGTGAATTCTATGTGTTTGAGTCCTCATCCTCCCCAGAACTGATCACAAACAAAAAAAAAACAGTGTGTGTGAAGCAACCTTTTACCTTTTGTTCTGAAACAAGTACTTGGGAGTGACAGAAATACTGACTATTGACACTGTTCTTTCTGTTCAGGCAGTTATTGTTGTTGTGCTAGACTTTCATGTTATTAGTTTATGAAAAATGCAAGTAGTAAAAATTTCGTGGCTTCAAGTATACAGTAGATGTGAGTTAACAATCACTCAGGATAAACCAACATGTCAAAGTATTAATAGATTCCTAGTACTGGGGTGTGTCTGTGTGTGTCAGTGTGTCAGTGTTCAATGATTACTTTGAAAAAAGTTTGATTACATTAATAACAATAACAGTGATTACTTTGTTACTGTTTTCTTGCAGATAGTGCATACTTTAGGGATGGATATTACTAGCTGGTTATTTATGGACAAATACCATGCAATTAAATAAAACTGAGTCATTTAACATTTTTTTCATATCGAAGATTCCAGGAAAAAGCTAATAAAGATTTTTAATAGTTAAATCAGCTACTCTTAATACATTTTAGATTTACTATGGTAGCTTTTATTTGCTATTAAAAACCCCAAAAACTTAACTGAGGTACCCCATGCTGCATTTTTTAAATTTGTAATTCCTGTACTTGACAATGAATCTTTTGATCTGTTTTTGCCCTTGTAAGAATACAGAATTTGCTGTCAGTTTTACTAGCAAAAAGGAACATTCTGCAAGGGTTAAAAGATTATTTTCATACTTTTTTCTGTCATACCAGGTTTGTTTCTCTGAACTAGGGTTTCTGAGGATTTTTACTACTTTAGCGTTCTGTAATCTCATAGGAGCATAAGCAGCACATAGCCCACTGCTTGTGGACAGACAGGCAAGGCAAAGGACATGGATTGGTGGTGTGAGCCTCTCTTCACCAGGATAGCCCTGCGTGCTGGTATGAACCCCAGATGTTAAAGATTCGGTACTGGTGAAGGACTAAACCAAACAGGTTTTTAATAGCCGTGACCTCTGCTGTATGACGTCCTTTAACCTGGGACCAAGGAAAATCTTCATTCTGAGTCCTGAAGAAGGCACGTATTGAAGATCATGTTATTGGTGCATGTAAGCCATTATCTTAACTGTCTTACTGAGCTGGTTCATGCTGTTGACTTGTTGAAATGTGAAATGTAGTTACTATTGACTTTGTAAATACCTGCCAGAGAAGAAATATAATTATTTTAAATCATTGTAAATAGAGATGTATAAAACTCGACACACTCTGCAATGCAGAAAAAAAATTATATATATAAAAAAATATATAAAGATGTTAAATAAATATCGTGCTGTTTCCGAACAGAAATGATTACGCTGTGAATTGCTGCTTTTTACAAGTGTGGTTTGCGGTAGTGGGGGTGGGACGGGCCGTGAGGAGGGAGCTGTCCCGAGGGACGCGGAGCTGGGAAGGGAGCTCAGCCTCGGGCCGGGGCCGGGGCCGGGGCCGCGGCGAGGGCCGTGCCCGGTGGGGGGAAAGGAGCTGCTCGCGGCTCTCCCTCCCTCAGCACCTCGGGCATGCGCCCCGGGCCCGCTCCTCCCTGGCGGCGGAAGTCCCGCCCTGGCGCCGGGAGCGGGCGGCGGGTTGGCCTGGAACGGGTCGCTCACGGCGCGGCCGCCGCTGTGGGGGCGGGTCGGTCCGAGCGCTGGCTCCATGTGAGCGCCGTTCCGCCTCCTGCTGCCGCGGCCGGCGGCGCGGGGAGTGGGCGGGACCCCGGTCCTGGCCCCGGTCCCGCCGGAGCGGCGCCGTGAGGGGTGAGGTGAGGTGAGGCGAGGCGAGGCGAGGCCGCCATGAGCCGCATCGAGGGGTCGAGCGGTGGCGGCCGCCGCCGCGTCCTGCAGGTGAAGTTCGTGCCCGACGACGAGGTCCTGAAGCACATCGTCGACGACACAGGTACAGCCGGCCCCGGGCAGCGCCCAGCCCGGCACCGCCCGCCGCTCCCAGGGCGCTGGGAGGGGGGTCTGAGCAGCCGCCGCGACCCCTGGGAAAGGGGCTCTGCAGCACCCGGGTCGGGCCGCGGCAGGACCAGGCCTCCGGGGTCGTTCTCCCGAGACCGCCCCCTCCGCGGCCGGTCTCTGTCCCGCCCGGCACAGCATGGGCGGAGCGAGGCTCCACGTGGTGGGTGCTGTAGAAGAGTTTTGCTGCGGTTTTGACTACTTTTAAGGTTTGGAACCTCTGTGGAGATGCTTCAGACTTGTCAGTAC